ATTGTGGAAAAAAGTGTAAATATTGATAATTGCAAATGGATCTGGAGCATCTAGTTGGCCAATCCCACTTGATTAATTAATATATATATTATTGATAATTGCAAATGGATCTGCAGCATCTAGTTGGCCAATCCCACTTGATTAATTAATATATATATTATTTATAATTGCAAATGGATCTGCAGCATCTAATTGGCCAATTGGCCATATTGCCTTCAACTTCTATGCCTATAAATAGGCTACTCGGGAGAAAGAGCAAATGCACCAAAAAGACGGAAGAAAAGAGATAGAGAAAGAAAGGAGAAAAAAAAAAAAAAAAATTATTCCAAAATTAATTTTGGAAGGATAAAAATATCAGAGAGAAAAATATAGAAATATTTATTTGTTATCAAAATAACAAAAGAGTGATATTTTTATTCCTATTTTTAAGTGCTCAATTCTCGACTCCGTTTCAGTTCGCCGGAGCTCGTAAATCTGGTGTGCTACAGATTTAGAGACGTTTGCCGTTGTATCTTTGGGGAAGTTACGCCTGAACCGTTAGCTGCCACACGGGGCGTATTCTTCTTGCGGAAAGAGTTTTACTCGCCTCGGCTAAAATCTTTCCGTTTTAAGTTTTAATTTAATTTTCAGTTGTAATTTATTTTTCAGTTCGATTGTAATTTTTTATTTTTTTTTAAGATTATTTGTAAGAACTGAAAAAATACATATCAGTTCGTAGGATTCCCGTGTATTTTTATACCTAGTTGATAACAGGTCTATTGACGGGTGCTGGGAAGATTGCATTATTGTTATCCTTTCTCCTTCAGGATTCTGTTACCGAAATAACTATTTGACACCATGTCATTTATTGTTGCACGTTAGACTTGATATGAATTTTAGTTTTAAGCCTTTTGTTGTCCTGTTGACAAGCAGAAGCTGGCTGGTTTTGTGTGCCTTCCACATGGTTTTAGCAAGGTAAAAATATTTTTTAGTAAAGTTACAAAATTGCATTTGGTGTTGTAATCTTCAGTAAACCTTGCCAGTAAATGTCTGATAACTTTCAACTATTATCAGACACATCGAGTGGCTGTCTTTGCGGAAGGAGCTGCTGCAGATGAGGCTCGAGTGGGTGGAGCTTATATTGTTGGCGGCCAAGAGCTGGTGGTAGGCAGGTCATCATAAAAAGTGGTTTTAGTGGATAAATTAAACCATACAGAGGATATAAAATTGTAT